TTCCCGGTTTTTCTAGGATTTTCACGTTTGCCAACGATTTTTTACAGTTTTTCACATTTGTCGAGAAAACATATAAAAAACAAAAAATAAAATCGAAAAACGACCACCTTAAGGTATCTCCCCACGTCAAATTTCTTTAAAGAAAATGTATTAAACATAAAAATCGGATCGTGATCTTTAAGCAGAAAAGTTGTCCAAAGAACGAAAAAAAAAGTACATAAACATCTTTGTTAAACCGTTGCTCCACTCACATTCTAAAAATATAGATCGCATTAACATAAACAATATTGTATACACAATGGAGAGTATTCGTGGTTCCAATCAAAAATCGAAGAGTAATAATGAAATAACTAATACTGAAGATGGACGTGCCACTGTTGGAGCGAAGTTTGGTTACCTATATTTTGATTTTACCACGTCTAAAAAAAATTTCATGTCTTTGCGAATAATTTTATTAGGCGCACTTGCCCCCTAATATAAGTTCTTTTTTTAAATTTTCATTTAACCGTATTAATATAAAATCGAAATTAATGAAACCGTTATTGCCGTAAATTGTTCTATTCTTCCTCAATTTATTATAAAAACAAAAATATTTACCATAAATATGCCGTTCCGGTTCACCTTTTTACAGAGAAAAATTTTGATCGTTGCTGTTCACAAATCGTATAGATATAAAATACAATATATTATTACATAGGTATACTTCCTAAAAAAAAAAAAAAATTATTTGTCTTACCAATATAAAATGTATTACAATCATATTTAAGTTTATTTTTATAACAGTACTTTCATAAGAAGGGGAGTTTCTGTGAAGTTTTTAGTTCTATTGTTTGTATGTTTGATCAAATTATTATTAGTCTTAATAGCGATTTTTACATTATTATCATTAATGTTCAAAATTTTAGCGGATTCACTAGACAAATTATTTTGATATTTCATACTACCATAGTTAACAACATTATTTGGTGAGTTATGTGTTATTTTTTCGTGTTGATAATTATGTTTATATAGTGGAATACGTTCAGTAGCACCAAATACACACAAATTACAACGTAAAAACCAGCATTTTTTCAACCATTAATTTAACTTCCATAATTTTCAATAAAGCTGAAAAAAATTTATGTAATAAAGGTAATAAATTCAATACCTATCAAATATTAAACTTTCAATCCATTAAAAAACAATTAATACAATGTGAATCTGTTATAAATTATATAAAATTTCAAAATCAAAATCAAACAAGATATAATTTAATAAACATCAACAATACAAATTAAAAAATTAAGCTAAAAAAAAATATTAAAACAAAATAATAAGTTAGGTTAACACACTTGAATAATACACTTATCATAATAATCCTGGTGACTCAATGATTTATTTATTTTATTTTTATATATACATTTGAAATTTATATATTTATTTACTTCATTTATTTATGAGTATTAACTATTTTAATAATTTTGTTTTGCTTTATTAATTTATTGAAACCAAATACTATAGTCAAACGATACAATACAATTATTAACAACATAGTGAATAAATTAAAAACAAATAATTCAGAAATAGTCCGGGTTGATAAATCTAATACTATTGTTATCATTTACACTAATGAAATTCATAAAAAAAAATAAAATTGTATACATATTAATAATATTCTAAACTTAACATATGACACAACTATAATTTGCACTAAACAAATGAATAAACTGTTAACAAATTCGAAAGAAATCATTCCTAACGTCCAAAAGATATTATTTTTGAAATCTGAATACAAAATAGAGGCTCCTCGACAGAATTATCGTATTGGGAATATTTAAGCGGCCAAGACGCTCGAGATGTTTTGAAAAAAAAAAAACCGTTACATTTTATTCGGTCGGAGTGTCGAACTATTTATTTATGTTTATTATGCTGCATTATTGTACAGATTGTATACGAAAAATAATAGAAAACTGGTGTTTTATTCGTTTTGTGAGGCTAAAAGTCTTCCGAAAAAAATTATATTATATTGATTTGAATTGTGTATAGAAATAAATATAAAGGTACCTAGTGCGGGTATTTGATGATAGCGGTATCATAAACTGACTGAAGATATCGTCTGTTTTTTTTTGATTTGTATAGAAATTGTGTATATTACGTTTCAATAAAAAAATCCCTCCCAAACAACGAAATAAAGCGTTATTGTTNAGCGGTGCTGCGGCGGTGCGGCGGTGTCATCAAACGGATGACGCGAATATCGTAAATATATAGGCGTATCTAGAACCAAATTTATTAAGAGGCTAAACCTTTAAAAAAAATTAAACCAAGAGAAAATTTTAACGGTCAGTATACTAACATCATTAGCAAATTGACTTTATGCTGTAACATAACGATTTAATGTAAATATACCAATGTATTAAACGAAAATAGCAGCATTGCAGGTATTATAGGTTATCGAAAAAAAATAAATAGTTTAGTTATTTAATTATGATTTTCTTTCAAATTATTAACTAACAGACGAATATTTGTTGTAACGGAGGGTAGATGGGCGGGGCGGAGGAGGCGAGCGCGCGGCCCCGAAATAATATTGTATGGATATTCGACGGTGTGATGACGTGCCGTGGTGGGGAGAACGTTACACACCCTCGCTATACAGGCCCGTGCAGTTAGTAAACGATTTTGTCCAAAATAGTAAATATTGTAATCTTTCAAAACATGTATAACTGAACTTCGCTCCGAATCGTTTTTCACTATCAATGGTTTATCTTTGCTTACATAAAATAAATAACTTAATTATTGAAACCTTTATTGCCGTAAATTGTTCTATTCTACCTCAATTTATTATACAAATAAAAATATCTACCATAAATACGCCAATCTGGTTTACCTTTTTACTTAAAAAAATTTGGATCGTCGCTGTTCACAAAAAGTATAGATGTATAATACAATATATTATTAAATAGTTATACTTCCTAAAAAATAATAAAGAACCGTATCGTAAAATATATACATTTTTTCGTTATAAATTCTCGGAACGGAACCCGCGGTACGCATAATATAGTTGAAAATGTAGAGGGCCGAGATGTACAAGGTTAAATTATAAAAATAAAATGTGTGAGTGCGTGTGTGTATGAAAAAGTATCGTGTTTTCGTTCTTTGTACCTGAATGACAACAATTATATTGTCGTTGGTAAAAATTGTTTTTAACGGTGGGTAGATGGCGGGGGTGAGAAGACGAGCGCACGGCCGCGAAATACTATTGTATCGATATGCGGCACAGGGATAATGTGCGGGGGAGAGGAGGACGTTACAGTCCCTCGCTATACAGGCCTGTGCAGGTCCGCTGTCTATTATAATGCTTTGTCTGTCGATGACCGTTATAAAATAAAATTTTTGTTTAGGTACTTACACTTACGATACAGACGAAGAGGGCGTACAGGATAGTGCGGGGTGATTATTCCGGGCAGGTTGTTCGACGGTATGGTAACGCGCGTAAAGACACAATTATACGTTAATATTTGCAACGGCAGTCGCTGACATTTTGAATAATGCGGTATGCGTTGACCGCCTAATAGGCGAGCTCGTTAGTAATGTCTGCTAATGGTATGTTATGGAAAAAATTATTTGAAAAAATAACCATAACTCATTAAAATATATATACTATGTAAATGCATATTACGTACGGTATATACGATAGTTAATTATCACAATATTATGGCCCGGGTCACGGTACAACCAGTAGGGTGAATTTCGATATAATTTGTGAATTTATATTGTGTACACACGTCCGTGAAGGTGACGGTACCGACACGACAGTGAAACAGACGGTTAGACGTGTCTTCACCGTGCGATAGTCACTATCGCTGTCAATAGTAAAACATTATCGCCCGACGATAATCGGCGATAGTTTTACTATCGTAGTAATGATTTTCGTTATTCGCACACAATGTTCACCGTCACTGTCACTGCGTTTCATATCATATTATTTTATTACTCATATTTCTCGTTTACTACGACAGAGTGTAAATCAACCATACAAAAATGCAAGTAGCGCGTGTATATTTCTATGACATCACCTAAAACATAATATTTATCGGTAGCATCGTCCGACTACTGTATCGCGCGGTTTTTGTCGTGGCATCACGACTATACTGTGGATCACATTATTATTATCACTGTTATTCATTTGTTCTCAAATATTCGGTCGATTCTATCAGTACAAATAAATAACAGTACGTTACAGTGTACATGTTACAGTTTAGCGAGCTATAAGTTGATATACTTTTTAATTTTTTTCTTTATATTGTGCATATCAATTCTACCAGAAATATTGTTTTGATGTATCAAGTGTAGGTGCTAACATTTTTTTATCGATAATTTTATCCAGTCGGTACTTTTAGGAGGTCGTTTTATATTTACCTAAGTGGTTGTCATAATAATTAGTAAAATGCGTTTATGACGTAAATTGAAAAAACAACAAAAAACTATATATTATTTTGTATATTTTATTATAATATATGTTTACACAGTTGTTTTTTTTTTCTTTCAATAAAACATTCTATACATAATAACTAGTTTTCACGTTACGCGACCTTCTATCCCTAATGAATACTAATTTTCGTCGCGTCCGTTCGCCTAAAATATTATCATGTTTATTACAAGTAAAATAGGGACCGTGAGTTTAAAAGGCCACGACGTTGTCATCGCCGAGGCCTTTACCGAGTGATTACGTTTTTACATGATGCGCCGTTATTATATTGTATAGTGCAGTTTTTTCGGGTCAAACATTTTTTTCGGATTGTTTTGACGTCATATTTACACAGGTATAAACGAGTTAATACAGCGTTTGGGATGTTTTTTTTTAATATGAGTTCTGTGAATCCTAACCAAGGCGACGGTTATCTGAAACGGAAAGCGCGATTTCTGAGTGAATTACTCGAGAGAAAAGAACATCCATACAATACAAATTATCTGACGACCGTTTTGACCCTAGAAAATTACCGTAAGCTACTGCGGGAAATTAAATGCGCTACGTGTGCCGTACCCAAAACCACCACCCAATACAGGTGTCTCAAACGGTCGCTATCGTCAAAGTGTACGGCGTGGAAAAAATCATATCAAAATTGATGAAATATCAGCACAATGGAATTGCGGTTTACAACTTGCCGATTGACGTGACTATCGAAGCGATTCACGCGACCAACGGACACGGCGGACGCGACAAAATGCGCAAAGAAACGCGCAAGAAATACGCCAACATTACTGTGTCGATGTTTAATTTGTTCTTGTCGATGTGCGAAGTTTGCGTTAAGACCAAAAAATCAAAAATAATTACCGAGGCCAGAGACAGGACCGAAGACTGAGACCGAATATACTAACGAAATATGCAAATTTTCGTGTGTATACAATAATAGACCGACCAATATGCGATAGCGATAACAGCCAAGTTTTTCGCAGGAAACTCGATAACTCTTTTGTTGTCAAAGGAAACTATAACAATTACCGTAGTTCAATAAACAATATTAGTTTTGTGTACGTGTTTTTTTTTTTCAAATTAAATTTAAGATATTGAATTCAAAATTTATATTTGTTTTATCGGTGGTTAAGATTTTATAAAAACTTGAACGTATTTAATGTTATTTTAGGAGATAATTAATTATAAAAATGTATGAGATGAATATTATTTATAGATATGACCTGAAATTATTGTATTTTTTTTTTTTTTAGTTTTCAAAATCCATATCTAATAATCGGAGAAATATCACTGCCAAACTAAATTATATAAATATGATATATATATATATATATATATATACATAAATGGTTTAAAGCATGCATTTTTGGTCCCAAAGTAAAAAATTAAGTCTTAAAGAAATTTGTTGGCATTTAATTTTTTTTTTATAATTTTTTTACATTTGTATTATATTATAGTACATGTTTTAATTATATAAGATGTACTTTTTTGTTTGGCAAAAGAGCATCGATAAGTCATATAACTATTTAGCGATTTTTAAAATGACAATTTAAATGCAATGAAAACAATACACAATTTATTTAAACCGTTCTTTCCTGGAACCAAAGATATGTATGTATCTATATACATAAACATTTAACTCGGAACTTGGGATACATAAAATATGTGTCTTATAACCGGAAAAGTAGAGTAGGTAAATATAGAAATTATACAGACGATTCTGAGCGAGGAGTATATTAGAGAAATCAGTTGTATTTGTTATTAACATCCCCGTAACCAGAACATTAACGAAAAACAATAACCTCTAATATATCAATATTGGTCAATATATCGACCTTTTTTTAATAGTTTTTTAAAAATGTTATAGAAAAAACGATGAGAATTAATTAATAAGTCATTTTAATTGAATAAATATTTTTTTTCGAATAAAAAATTACTGGATAAAAATTCTGCATTTTTTAATATAAGGCCAATTTTTATGTTTGATCATTCTTACTATCTAAAAAAGTGTTTTCAAAAAAAAAGGCACACACACATCATATAATAGAAAAACTAAAAACACTCGAGTTCTAAAATGAAAGTGTACCTAAAGGAATAAATAGCAAGTAAAATATATTATTGGTGGTGTATACCTAAAATATACAGTATAGAAAAAAAGTTTACACTTTGTTGACGATTGAATCGGCATAATAATATTTTATATTTACACATTGCACTAGCGTGTAAGTTAATTTTACATTAAAGTAACACATTGTTTTTTTTTATTGTATAAAGGATTCAGCAAATGTTAAGTTTTTCAAAATTAATTATAATGGGCACGCTTATCCGAAAAAAATAAAATAGAATTATTCAGACTTTAGAGTTAAGCTTATACCGATTGATATACAATTTTTTTTTTGTCTGGCAAAATGAAAACTGTTTAAATTTATCTATTATATTACATTTCCTATGTGTAATACATTTTCTTAGAGAAAAATAAAAAATAAAGTATCTTTTGTGTTTTTTTGACGAGTGACAACAAACAGTTAATGATGATTTTAAACATTATTGTTAGTTACCAAGAGTTTAAAGTTAATATTCGTTTTCGGTAAAATTAATTACTATTGAAGAAAAAGAGTATATAAGATATCAATAAAAAGCGGTTATTGTTGTACATTATTTACAAGTAGGCTGGATGTATGGCATTTGGGTCTACAAAAAAAAAGTGTCGAAATATCGAAAAACGTCACATAGGTAGTTTCTTTGTTTATATACTGTTCTAGAAAAACCTTTACCAGTCGGATTTTTGATTTCTCTATTTTCCACTAACCAGGTAGGTTAACTTTGATTCCGAATTCAATTTTTTGGTTTTCTTTGTATATAATTAAAAGTTATGAGACTAAGATAAAGATTTAGGTAATGTTATAGCATGCGAATATGCAAATATTATATACATAAAAATACATATTTGTAAATTATATTTGTTTTGTTTTGGGTTTTTAAATCGCAAAGAATTAGTGACTGGTCCATTATCTAATTTAAATTAAATACTGTTAAATGAGTAAACGGAAACAGATTTATACTAGGTAGGAACCTAACTTCGATAAATAAATAAATAAGGTTAAATATTCCATTGTTCCTATTCTACCAATATTATTTATACATACTGTATAATATAATAAATATGGATATGAAATTTATAGTCATTATATTATATTATAAGTACCAACTTAATTATAGATTAATTAGAATAGATATATATATGTATAATATACATTCTATATATTTTATTATATTCAAATTGAAATATATTAAACCCATAAATGTCAAACATTGGTAGGAAATGATGTTTGAGAGGTGTCAGTATATTAAAAATTTCATAAATAGATGGAATATTAGTTACTATTTCTTATATTTATTATGCTGAAATTATTGTACAGATTGTATACGAAAAATAATAGAAAACTGGTGTTTTATTCGTTTTGTGAGGCTAAAAGTCTTCCGAAAAAAATTATATTATATTGATTTGAATTGTGTATAGAAATAAATATAAAAGTACCTAGTGCGGGTGTTTGATGATAGCGGTATCATGAACTGACTGAAGATATCGTCTATTTTTTTTTTGATTTGTATAGAAATTGTGTATATTACGTTTCAATAAAAAAATCCCTCCCAAACAACGAAATAAAACGTTATTGTTTGTGAGATTAAAAGGGCCCGTTAACCTTCGCGTCGGTATTGATTGAATATAATGTATAATGGAATTGTATTTATTGATATGTTAAAGGGATATTCTGAAGAAGACGATTGTGATGGCGGAGCGGTGCTTCGGCGGTGCGGCGGTGTCATCAAACGGATGACGCGAATATCGTAAATATATAGGCGTATCTAGAACCAAATTTATTAAGAGGCTAAACCTTTAAAAAAAATTAAACCAAGAGAAAATTTTAACGGTCAGTATACTAACATCATTAGCAAATTGACTTTATGCTGTAACATAACGATTTAATGTAAATATACCAATGTATTAAACGTTCTCTTATATCTCTACAAATTATGGAAAAAGTTAATACTTTCCGAGACAATTAGTGCACTCAAATGGATCACCTGGTACACTAAAATCAGTATATCGTGAAGTCCAAAAGGATATAAATTAATAATTAATAGTTTTCGCATTTTTTTTTTTTTTTACTTCATTGTTCTTTACACGTTGTGAGTTACATATGATTAGAAAGATAAAATTTAAATTTTTAATATAAATCAAAATACTATGATATGAGATTGCACTCGTGTGGGTAATATCATTACGGTATGGCGGGAAAATGTTCAGTTTGAAAATACGACGCCCATATTTATATATAATATAAAATATAAAATATATAATATATATATATTTATTCATAATTTTAAATTTCGATAAAACGGTGCGTCGGTCAATTACTACGACATAAATGGCTCAGCGGGGTACGTAGGTATATACATGGTCCTTACTGCATTAGGTCAACAATAATACCAACACAAAAGACGACGATTCTCCCGATATATTCGTGGAATTCCTACCTGCCCACACCACTACTTGTTCCTTTCTCATTTTTTTTTTTCTTTGTATACCTTTTATAAATGACGATAAACACGGGGATGGAATCTACGAGTCACTTTATTAAATAACACACGTTCTCATAAACGGTCAGTCGATTTATCTCGGTCATCCACAACGCATCTCCTACCACTGTAACATTGAATATTCATTGGAAACGACCTGTTGACTTCTGAATATCCAAACTTGTGTCAAGATTCTCATTATCTTGCAAGTACGCTATTTTACATTTTCAATCCTTTTCCTCTATTTTAATTAAAACATTTTTTTTCTTTCTCCATTTAGATTTTTTTTTTGTATTCGTTAATATGTATAGACCGGAGAGACTTTATAGAATTGTAGTGGTTGATTTTGAATTTGGCACGCTCGATAGAACAACCTATGCTTTAGTATCGGCAGCTTTTACTGACCTAGCTCAACGAAATGCCCAGCACCAGTGTTTAGTAACTAAACTTACAGGTATACCCATTCGCCTGGGAAAGAATAGGAATACAGACGTCCTACCATCTGATTTAACTAAATTCGAAATCCAAATATTTAGGCACTTTCAAAATAGGATTTTTAGATCCAAACATATAGTTCTTGAACCTTTGATAAACGAACTTAATCAGGGAATTAAAAATCCAAGAAAAACATTAACCTATAATAACATATCATATCAAACAAGAAATTCGTCTGTAATAGTGACATGGAATGGTCAATCAGATTTATTAATTCTTAAATTGAAGGGACTTAATAAAGTGTACCTTTCTTTAGGTTGTAGCGACCAAATCGATGAATTTAATTTTTATATATCCTTGGTAGACTTTAATGATAAAACCAAACTACCCATATTGAAAACCTTCGTTGCATACGTCACAACTAAGAGTCCCGGTAGGTTATTGAATCTAAGAGAAACTCATGATATAATTTGTCAAGAGAGCCATGATATTACCTACGTTCACGACCCAAGAACCGATGTAATATTCACAAAATGTATTTTCCTCTATCTCTTAAGAAAAGAAAATATTTCTATGAGACAATTTAAAAATATTATAATAACGCATCTCACCAACTGTCCTTTACCGCCCCTTAAACAAAATAATTAAAAAAAAAAACAAAAAAAATAACTAAGAATTGTAAATTAATCTACGTTATATTAATATAATAATATTACTTATTTGTATGTACATATATTAAATAATATATACATAAATTACATTATCATTTTAAATTTTAAATTTGTTCTAAGATTATCTTTTTAATTAATATGTATAAACTATTGAATCAATAAAAAACAAAAAAAAGTATGAATATATATATACTTCAGTTTATATAATCAATTCTTAAAAAAAAAAAAAAAA